CAGGTCTTTTTTATTTTGAGACAAGCTCTTGCTCTATTGGCCAGACTAGCCTTGAACTTGGAATTGTCTTGCCTCAGCCCCCTGAGTAGTGGGAGGACAGATGTGTGCTACCACACCCAGCTCTTCATCGTACATACAAATCTACCTTGGAACTCAAATGTGATCACAGTGCAATACTGTGCTGTATCCACTTTGTGTCACTGTTCAGGTGGTTACAAATCTACCTTGAGGCCAGGACATTTGGACCTGGCTTGGCTTTTCAGGGTCTTCATTATAGTCCACTGTATGAATGTGACTCAATTACCCAAGCCCCTTTTGAGAGACTTTTAGACTGTTTCTCATTGTCAGTTATTACCTTGAGTGCTGGTGACTAGTTTTGACCATACATGTTTGTACATATATGCAATAATTTCTGAAGAATAAATTCTTCACAGTGGATAAGGACTTTATATAGATGTGGAGACTTGCTTGGTCACAGTGTAGATACCTTTCCAATTTGATAATTTTTGTCAAAGTGCCATGCATTAATTTACCAACTTGCATTAAAGTTTACAATGTACAATATAGTGACTTTTCCTTCAAATTAACACCAACACTGGGTAGTATAGGTTTTGTTAAACTGGCAGGAAAACGAACTTAAGTTAGTTTGATTTGCCCTTGTTTTGTTAATAGTAAGTTGGGGTATAGAATTATTGGACTGGATAAAACTGAAGCTAAGTCCACAGGACAAAACAGAACCTTAAGCAAGCCAAACTTATTTTGCACCCTTCATATTGTTAAATTTAATTACTAATTTATTACATAATCATGAGAAGCAAATCCAGCACATCAAGGATAAGCATTTGCTCCAGAAACTTAAAAAAAGTTTGAGTTTATTTCAAAAAATAATTCATTTTCATTAATACAGAAACAACAGCTTCCAAATCATATTATACAATTTGTGTATCTAACATTAAAAAAAATCATCTTCTGAAATGGATGTATTTACCACAGTTAATTTTTTTTTTTAGAAATGAAGACTATTCTTTGACTCATGTATTTTTATGTACAGCATCATCTTCAAAGCTTTCTTCCCCAAATATCACTAATGCCAGACGGATGAAGTCCTGTGGGACTAGGTCTAAAGCATCTTCTTTGTTTCCTGTCAGTGCCTACAGTTCCTTTCTGTGAGCAATGCTTTAGGCCCTAGAGTATGGTCATAGAGGTGAGGTATTTTAGTTCTACCCGAAGCAATATTCTGAAAAAAAGACTTTATCCATGCTTACACAGACATGGTTTCCAGGTGCAAAACTGAACACCACAGCCACTGTTCAGGAACACATGGCACCAGTTACGTGCAACCTGAGTTAGTCACCCATGCTGTGAGCCCCAAGCTGCAATGGGCACTGGGCTCAGTTTAATGCTCTGCTATTACTAGCTCATGTTTCTTAATCATTTTTGAACAATGGACCCCCATTTTTATCTTTCAATGAACTTTTCAACTTATGTGGCCAGTCTTGGATACACATAAAAGTTGCATCACCCTGATTCATTTGACTTGTGATTTGTGTTTTCATTTGGCAATGAAAATAGAGTGTGGGTAGTTCCTTAGCAGCAGAATAACATTAGTTCTAAAATACTTCCAAAAATATAAAAATTCTTAGTCATAAAGTTCATTAGAAGTAGTAAAGGAAGACAGAGAGGATTTTTTAAAATCTGTAAGTCTATATATTGAAATCACATTCTCATTGGAATATGGAAGAATAAAACTTGGTTTGAGATCATGACTCTACCTCTCTCTGCATATTTTAGCTTCATCAATGAATTGATTCATTTGAAGAACAAGTATATGTGCACACACATCCATAAGTAAATATAAATACATTCCTTTGTAATTCTTTAATCAGCAAGATGATTACTTCAGCAATTCAGATGAAAAACAGAATCTATGAAAGATCTGAATTTAGCTGTTCTTTTGGCTTTGGGGGGGGTGCTGGCTATTGAACTCATGGACCTCACACTGAGTACATTCTCAATCTTTTAAACTTAAAGAAACATTTTTTTTTAAAGAAATTTGAGACAGGCTCTTAGGTTTCTCAGCTTGGACTGGAATCTATAATCTGCTGCGTGAGCCTCACAGAGTGTTGGGATTGTAGGCATGCGCCATGATGCTCGACTTGGCTATTCTTTAAAGCATCCTCTTACAACAGTGATACCAGCATACCCATGTGTTAGCAGCACAAAGCACAACAGCTACATCATGGCAGTGGCCTGTATGCCCACCGCAGATGCATGAATAAAGAAAATACAGTATAGAAACACAGTGGAGCACTTTTCAATCATGAAGAAGGACAATCTTGAGCCAGTTATAGGAAAATGGGTGGGCCCTGAGAATGCAACGTTAAGTAAAATAAGTCAGTCAGAAAAGATTACATATTATGTTATCTATAATAAGAGAGATCTAAAATATAAGAAATTTGAAAAATTAAAATTGTGGTCTTAAGGAATATAGAGGGAATCCCAGTAGAGATAGGAAGAGGGTCTCAGGGAAGGATAAAGAGAAACATGGAGGTAAAAAATGATCAAAATGCAATATGTATCAAACCCCCATGATGAATGTGCTAAAGAAAAGTCATATAGTAAAAAAAAAAAAATAAAGTAGCCTTCTCTAAGTCAGTATAATTCCATTTTTCTTAAAAAGAATGGTAGGAAATTATGGTCTAGAAATATCATAAAAATCTCTAAGCTCTATTTATAGAAGGAAATAAAGTTCTACTACATGGCATAGTCCTCTGTACAAGGTGCAGAGCAAGATTTTGAAATGAAGAGTTGCCAAGGAAGAATAATTCTCTGTAGACACCTGTGAGCTGGGGGAGGCTCTGTGCCAGGAAGCTGAGCTGCCTACACCTTCCAAACCTACATGGGATTTCGTCCCCTGGCTGTGTATCACGATCCCTTGGAGTACATAGAGAACGACTCATGTCTAAACTTCATCTCCCATGAATTAAGTCATAATCTCAATGGAGTAAGGGTGAGGATATTTTTAAAAGGTGACCCTGATAATTCTTATTAATTGTAGCGAGGGTTAAATTGCCCTTGGCTTTTGCATTTGCCAAAAGAAAGGCTTGGACTGAGAGTTGTGTATTCCAAAAATTTACATCCAGTTTTACTTAATGTAGGGTGGCTGGGGGGGGTAGCTCAGTGGCATACGCACTTGCCTGGCAAGCACGGGCAAGCACGGGCAAGCACAGGGTCCTAAATTTAATCCCAGTACTGGAAAAGAAAAAAAAAAAAAGCAGCAAATACTTAAATGTAGACAATATTACCATAGTCAGTCACTTCTATGTAATTTCTTAACAGTAGGTAAAGGTATCACATAAGTAATTTAATGGTTTTTCTAAGGTTGCTGAACACTTCCAATAAGATGTTTAAGAGATGAAGATATTTTTGGAAGAACAATCTTACAACTGTTTTTAGGAAATCTGGAAGGTTTCAAAGTTTCAGATTCCTTTAAACTGAGGGCAAGTAGTGTTCTTCCAAATTAGGGATATTTTTTAGATACCAGATAACATTTTCCATTAAAAATGACAGGACAAATTGTTCAGACTAAAAATTTCAAATCAAAGCATTTGGAGGGGCTGGGAGATGGCTCAGTGGAATAAGTGTATCCCTGGCAAGCGCAGGAGCCTGAGTTCAATTCCTGGTTCGCAAAACAAACAAACAAACAAAAAACAAAGCATTTGGAAATTTTCTAGACTGCCCCCTTTAACAATATACTTTAAAAAATAGCCATTAAATGTCTTCATAACTGTACACCTAAATTCTATTACTTCATGAGTAAACCTCCTGTTTTCATAGTGATCCTCCTGTTTTCAGCCTCCCTGGCACTGGGATTATAGGTGTGTGCCACCACACCCAGACTAAACCATTTTTCCTTTAACTTTGGGTGTTGGGTACTTTGTCTCAGCAACAAGAGAAAAGAAATTAAGACAATTATCAATGAATTTTTCAAATTCTAGGGGGAAAACATCCTGGAAGATTTCCTAAGTCATACAGGTAAGACCATACCTGGGAGACTGGCACCTGGAAAAGAAGAGAGGTAGGGAACAGGGGAGAGACAATATGCGGGCAGGAAGAGTCCCTTTAGTCACTTCCTGTTCTTGTGGGGAGTGGGAATGGGGAAGAAGGCTAGAGGAATTATACCCCATAATTCACTTTGGCAGAGCTGAGATAAAAAGCCTCATCTCTATGTGGCATATTTGAACCCCGGAGCCAGACCATAGAGACACAAAGTTCAAATTTTCTTCTGTGTGTTGTTTCTCAACTATATACTGTAAAACACACTGAAAAGACTAACTTGGGCTCCATGCTTTAGTATACCTGCAGACACAGTGGGGTGTTTGAAAGCATCATTTAAGGAGCTCTAAGATGAAAGTTATAATGATCACATCTTTTTTGTTGTTGTTGTTGTAAAGTACTTCATTGTGGATCATGTTTAGATGTCCCCACAAAGCTCATTTGGTCATCAGTGGATCTTTTTCAGAGGTGGCTTGATTTACACTTGAGCTTAGCCAAAAGACCAAGAAATGACTGGTGACTGGATTTAGTGTGTGATGCTGACACTTATACATGGTGCAGTGCTAGGATCAAGGGCACCAGGAGTAAAGGTGTGAGTGCGACCCACCTTGATACGATCTAAAGGATAGTCAAAGTTCTGGTCATCCCTTGCCTGCTTGGTTACCTTCTACCCACCTGAACCATTTCTCCTCTGCGATGTTCCTCTGCTGTCCCACCATGCTTGGGAGCCAGCTGATGATGGACTGAAATCGCTACAAATTGTAAACTGAGTAAAGCATTTTTCTCCCCCCTCCTTTTCATGTATTTGGTACAGGGTCTTACTACACAGCTCAGACTCATAGTGATCCTCCTGTTTTCAGGTTCCCTGGCACTGGGTTTACAGGCAGTGCCACCATGCCCAGACTAAAGCATTTTTCCTTTAACTTTGGGTGTCAGGCATTTTGTCTCAGCAACAAGAGAAAAGAAATTAGGACAAACTTAAAGAAAACAAAGATAATGAGAACTGAAAGTGAACCCAGATGAAAATAAGTGTCGTAAATTATTCTACAGAACATCTGGAGGACTCAATAATAAGATGGTCAAAGTGTCAGGTACATAAAAGAAGTTATCAGTGTGTTTAAACTTAGAATAGTCTCCAATATCACTGAAGTAAATGATAAGAAACAGACCTGCAAGTAGACGCAGGCTTGATATTCCCCAAACAACCAGCAATGCCAACTTTTTTTTTTTTTCCACTGAAGAGTTCATCTAGGGAAAGAGCTATATTTCCTAAGTGCCAGCTTCCACTTTTCCCTGTTGCATTTTAATTCCAATTTTGGTTGGTGCCTGGCATGCTGATTGAAAAGCTGTAGAACAGTGTTTTCATTCTAGTCCAAAGTATTAGGCTGAGTGTTTCTCTCCTTGTTTGATGCCAAGAACAAGATGTAGGAACCAATTAAATTGTACAGTCCATCCTTTGTCTCTACAGACTTCAATCTGATCCAGAAAATACTTTTTAGCATCCTCCTCACTTTTCCCAACTGTCAGGGCATCCCGGATATATTCGATATCTTCTTTACTTGTTAACTGGGGCATTCCAGTCATCAGCATCATGGAGAACAGGATGATCAGGAGGTTTGTGTGATGGCGAAGGGCTAGATAAGCTTTCACACAGACATCCTGGATAGAAGAGAAGAAACCACCATCATTAATGATATGGTGACTGCAGGCTGAAAGAACTGGTTCATTTGAAGAGCAAATATGTATGCATATGCACCATGAGTGAAATATCGATACATTCCTTTGTTAATTTTTTTTAGCAACAAGATGGTTATTTTGTCATGCTGTATTGGAATGTACCTGGCATTACTGTTTATGAGAAGAAACCATCACAAGCCAACCAGATCTCTACCACTGATGAAAAACCTGAGAAGAAAATGTATTCTTAATCTCTTAAACCCATCAGTGTAGTTGTATAGATCCAAGCTATGCTTCAGGAAAACTAGAGGATCAGTTAAGCTTCATCTTATTTCTTAGCCTATTTCTTATATTATTTCTCAGGAAATTGAGGATAGAACTATCTACAGGCTCTGAAGAGGAATGAGTCACTTTTGAACACCATCCTGGAATCAATAAACTTGATGTAAGCAAAAATGATTGCCAAGCGCTAATGAAGTCCACAACAATGAAGGAAATAGAGTGCCTAGAGAGATTTAAGTGTTCATCTTCCTTTGACACTTTGTTCTCTTCTAAGAAAACAGCTGAATTAGGGTTTCTCTGACTGAGTCTCAAAATTATTGATCTTTGGAATTTCAATTCAAATTCTCAACATTTTGTGAAAGAGAGGGCATTAAAAAATACCATAGTTGACACTTGCTCAAAAAGCTTTGAAGCAGGTGATATGTGTGAGTTATGAACACTTATAAATAAACAGCTTTCATTATACCATTTAAATTGTTCCAAAGTATAGAAAGATGAAAGATTTTCAACATTGTAACATGAGACTAATCCAACCTTATTGTAATAGCATGATAAAGATAGAAAATCAAAGAAAACTGAGGCTAATTATATTTTAAATAAGATAATGAATAAAATGTTAAAAGAATAACATTCTGTTAAAAGAATAAACATAATTTATTCCCAAATGGAAAAATTAGTTCATTAAAGCATATTATATTAATATCCATTTCTGGTTTTTGAAAAAGTAACATGCAAATTAATATGAAACTGAATTGTGACAATGTAAATAATTATCTGATATTATCTTTTTATTTTTATTTATTTATCTATTTGTATTTTAGGGAAGAGTCTACAGGGTGTTCAGGGTCTCACTACTAGATTGAATTCCTAGTGATCTGCCTGTTTACAGTGTTCCAAGTGTTAGGATTACAGGCGTGTGCCACCAAGCCCAGTCTCAATTGCTGTCTCAGTGTACCCCCGGGGCAGGGCTGGCACGGCAGGCCTGGGATCGAACCCTGGCCCCTGTGCTTGCTTGCAGGTACTTTAATCTGTTGAGCTATTTGGCCAGCCCTTGATATTATCAAAATAATTCTGCATAATGAAATTCCAGACAAAGAAATGAAGTGTAAAAATCAGAAAAGTGAAGATAAAATTAGTATTTACAAATGACATAACTGTTTTCTTAGGACACTGAGGGAAGAAGAATTCAAATATTATTGCAACTATTTTTTAAATAAACTATCTTTTTATAAAAATTAACAACAACAATGTTATAAATAGGAGCCATGAGTTGGAGAGTGTAATGTAGAAATCGGTGCTGTAATATTAGTGAAAAGATCATTATACCTGGAATTAGCACAAACAAAAATGATACACAGAAACTATTTTGTAACAAACTATAAGATTTTACTAAATCACATAAAAGAAAGCCTCACTGCACGAAGTGATATGATATGTTATTCAGAGATAAACTGCTTGCTTCCAAAATGTGAATTATCTTCAAATTATTTACAAACTATAAAATTTCAATAAAATTCTTATTGGATAATAAAATTCAGAACTCAGATGTGTGTTTTAGTTCCCACATCATAATATGAAAGAATAGCATGAAATAGTTTTTATTTTTATCCAAAAGGACAAGAAAATTTGTGGAACAGAACAAAAAAAGGTTCAAAAGCCCATGGAAATCTGATCTAAAGATGGCTTCTCAAATTGGTAAGGAAAAAATTTATTATTTGATAAATGAAGCCAGACTGGCTCAACATTTGGGAGAAGAATAAAAGTTAAAGTTTTACTGTACATTATATATCAAAATAAATTCCAGGTGAATTAATGTCACCATTATTACAGCACTGGTTTTTACATTACACTCACCAACTGAAGGCTCCTATTTATAACATTGTATTTGTTAATTTTTATAAAAATAGTTTATTAAAAACCAGTTATAATAATATTTGAATTTTTCTTCTCTCAGTGTCCTAAGAAAACAGTTATATCATTTGTAAATACTAAGTTTATCTTCCCTTTTCTGATTTTTACACTTCATTTCTTTTTCTGGCATGTCATTAAGGATGTATAATGGGGAAATGTTTAAATAACTGTGGATGGAAAAAAACACTTGATGAAGAATTCCAAGGAAGAAAAAAAATGCAGAGGTTACAAACTCTTAAACACTTTTGTGGAAGCAGCCACTTAAAGGCCTGAGCTAGGGCCAGGCCCCCACAAACTCTTAAACACTTTTGGGGAAAAAAAGAAAGCTATAAATAATTAATAAAATGACAAAGAAGATATTCGCAACAGGACCAATCACTCTCACACTCCCAGGTCCCCAAATAGGTGCTATAAATTTATAAGGAAAAGATAAATAGTTGACCGAAACTGAAGGCCAAGTACATATATGAGAATTCATACAGTAAGATGTAAAAAAGATAACAAGCCTATGAAAAACTCCCAATTTCTTAGTAATCAAATAAATGAAACATAAAATGAGATGGACATATTCACCTACAAATTTATTTACTTTTTAATTTTGGGGGTTATTTTCAAAGATAGCACCCAATGTTCACTTTTAACAGGTTTATGGCAAAGCTGGGCATAGTAGTGCACGCCTGTAATATCAGCACACAGGAGGTTGAGGCAGGAGGGTTGTTGTTAGCTCAAGACCAGCCTGAGCTACAAAGTGAGCTCAAGGCCAGCCGGAAGTGCATAGCGAGACTCCATCTCAAAAAAACGTAAATAAATAAAGTTCATGGTGGATGGTGGACAAGAACAGCTCTGACGTTCTCAGCAGATTGTCTGCTAACATGCATGAAAATCTTTCCAATGCTTATAAATACTATAGAACTGAATTGTGATGGAGGCAACACAAATTAGCATGACGGTGGTGTTTGCCAACATCCGTCAGCATTCACAGAACCATACACTTGAAGTAGATGAGTTCGGCCTCAAAAAAAAATGTGACTTCAGAGCTATTTACATCTGGTGTGGTGTGATGCACACCCGTCACCCCAGCACTCAGGAATGCTGAGGCCAGAAGACGGCAAGCCTGAACCTGGCGCGGGAGCCTCAGTGAATTAGCGAGAAGCTGTCTCAAGATTTAAAAAACAAGAAAGGCTGGAGAAAGGGCTGAGTGCTAAGGCCTTGGGTTCAGTCCCTAGTGCTGCAGAAGCAGAGACAAATCCAAATCTGCATCCTTTAACCCAGCAACTGTCATCTTTTTGAAAAACTGGTTAATTTATAGCTGTTTATCTTTAAGAAAGTTTCCTAGGACATCATTTAAAAATGTGGAATTGGGAAGGCCACCCAAATGCCCAAACAGGAGACTCATAATAAAAACTTTATGAATTGCACCTCTGCAGCTACAAGAGTGATATTGTAGAGGAGTGTTTCAAAAGAATGTGAATGTGTTTATGTTAAAAAGTAAGACTACAACAACACGCATGTCATCATCCTACTTTGCTCAATTAATCCAAAAATGTTTATATGGAAAAAAGAATAAAAGTTGTAAGTCAAAATGTTCATGGTGAATTTTCCTTTTGATTTTAGTTCATGTGGTAGAGTACAGTGATAACAGAGGTCAGGCCTGTGTCATTCTGTATGTCACATTCTGGATGCATTTTCCTGTCCAAGTTAAAAAAGAAAGCCAAAAACAAACTACGGACTATTCTGGCATCTTCTAAACAAGGCCATGGATAGATTGGCAGGTAGATAGGTAAATGGGTGGATAGGAGGATAGATAGTTAATGCTTGTCACAGAGGCCAGCCTGTAGGCAAGGCCAGCTTGTCATTCTCTTTCCTATCTCCACCACTCATCTCTGTTTCCCATGACACAGGAGACCACTCGGGCTGTTCCTGCTTCAGCTAGAGCGTCAACTGTCCCCTGGTTGCTGCCCCAGTGCATTAGCATTCTTGTATCCTTAATGACTCCACTGATGTCTGGAAATCATTTTCTTTTGCCCATACCTAAGACACACCAAGGTCTCTCATTTCTTGGTAATTATGGAGTGTAAGTGTAGCACCTCAGGCTACAGTCTCATTAATTCACACAGGCCTGATGGGGGTGGGGGAGGATGCCTTTTGATTTTGAATTCAAGTACATTTTGATTTTTAATTATTTTCTATCCTTCTGCACACTAAGGGCTGCCTGCTGTGGGAGCCTGCTGTGTAGTCAATCTCTTTTTAACAGAACATTTTCAAGAAAGGAAATTAACCTGAGACCATCTACCACACCAACCCATAGGTGCTCAGCAAATACTTAAGAGGTGACATGCAGATTCAATCACCTCTGCAGTACAAAACAGATGCATGATGGGAGAGGAGTTGTCTTGCTTTTCTTGAAGGTCATCTCAGTATGATTTTTTTTTCTAGTGTTGTAGATTGAACCCAGAACTCAGGCATGTTAGGCAAGCACTACCACAGAGCCATACCACAACCATATGAATAATTCTTATTGGTGCTAGTTTATTCAGCTAGCTTTGATGTTCATACATCAGGATCTCCTCTAGGAGAAAGAAATGTAACTTCATGCCCCATGCTGAGTGTAACTTCATGCCCCATGCTTTCAGATACAAGGATCAAATCCAACCTGGCTTCACAGACTTAGAAACGTGGTGGACATGTAGTGTTCTTTACTTTAGATAGTGTGTATGAATTCAAATTTAGGATTTATTACTGATAAGTTGTCACCAAAGAAGCCATCTACTTTTCTGGACCTCAGCTTT